TATACATAAAATTTGTACATATTTAACACACTCTTATGTTTATTTTAATTATGTAGACAATAGTTTCCTTTTTCTAAACGTATCTATCTCTACTTTGATAACTAGGAGGTGAACACATTTAGTCTATACATAGTATAATATTTTCGCCTGTGTACATCTACCATGGTTTTTTTTTTAAACCAGATGTCTCTGTGCACTAAAAAGCATGTCAAGTATCTACAAATTATTTATACAAATAGAACCGGTGGGCGTAGCTCAACTGGTAGCGAGGGAGTGTCACAAGGGTTAGGTCTCGGGTTCGAATCCCGGCAACTACGATGAGGGGTTACTATGCTGAAAAATGCATAGGGCCTCTGTAAGTACCGGGGACATAGCCTCACTCTCTATCTGTCAGATTGTGATTATAGTCCAATTTACATTCTCCCATCATGCCGTCTGGTCGGTGTTGGGGAATGGGGACCCTGAGATATGGGGTGTCATCCCTTTTTTTTATACAACAAAATTGCTATGGGTACCTCAAATGGTACCTCATTCATACCCCATATAAAAACTCTTCCCCATTTTTACCTCACTCCCTTTTCCATTTAAAAAATTTACCCTCAACTCTCTTCTTCCTTCCAAAACTCCACACCAGCCCTCTACCAACTCTCTCCACTCCCCTGCGACAACACCCTCCCCTCTTTCTCACTGTGACAACACCGACCAACACTCCCCTGCGACAACACCCTCCGCGACAACACCGGCCAACACTCCTTCCGTCTCACCCTCCCCTCTGTTTTTTTTGTGTTTCGAACGGAGAGCTACAGTGGTAGGGCGAAAGGAAGTCATCCATGGACACCATTTACAACCCTCTTCAATGGAGTTGAGCTACAGATTGTCCACATATTCCCCTTAGTATGCCTCTTTCTCCCTTTTTCATCTTTCTTCATTTTTTATTATTTATTTTTTTAATTCATATGTAATACTCTATATATCTTGTAATGTTAATGGTTGAATATCTTGTGTTATTGTGATGAATTTGTGATGTTTATTCTTACAATTTTAGTCCAACTATTCTAGGTCATTAATATGCCCATAACATGTTTGTTGAAATGCTTAAATGAATTTTTTGTTTATGTCCTCTTATGTTATAAGGATTTTGGATTTTTGTTTTACTAGTATAAGTTTCAACTTTAAATTGTGCATATTGTTGTCTGGTGTATTACTTGAAGTGCATATATGGTTGACTTCTCTTAGTAGTTGGTAATGAGTTAGTATTTTAAAAATTGTTTGTAGTTGTATGTCATGTGAAATTAGTTGTCTGGCAAGCCATTTGAGTTGTCTGTTACTTCATTTTGAACTGTTGCAACTAGGTTTGTAGTTGTCTGTCATGTGAAATTAGTTGTCTGGCAATCCATTTGAGTTGTCTGTCACTTCATTTTGAATTGTTGAAACTTGGTTTGTAGTTGTCTGTCATGTGAAATTAGTTTTCTGGCAAGCCATTTGAGTTGTCTGTCACTTTATTTTGTACTATTGAAACTTGGTTTGTAGTTGTCTGTCATGTGAAATTAGTTGTCTGGCAAGCCATTTGAGTTGTCTGTCACTTCATTTTAAACTGTTGGAACTAGGTTTGTAGTTGCCTGTCAGGTGAAATTAGTTGTCTGGCAAGCCTTTTGAGTTGTCTGTAGGGTATTCAATTCAACCTTTATTACAATACATAAATTGTCTGTATAAGTGTCATAAATATCTGTCTTGGTTATACTTGTCTGTCTACAGGATTTTAGATTTTTGTTACAATCCTCTTATGTTTTAAGGATTTTGGATTTTTGTTTTACTAGTATAAGTTTCAACTTTAAATTGTGCATATTGTTGTCTGGTGTATTACTTGAAGTGCATATATGGTTGATTTCTCTTAGTAGTTGGTAATGGGTTAGTAGTTTAAAAATTGTTTGTAATTGTCTGTCATGTGAAAGTAGTTGTCTGGCAAGCCATTTGAGTTGTCTGTCACTTCATTTTGAATTGTTGGAACTAGGTTTGTAGTTGTCTGTCATGTGAAATTAGTTTTCTGGCAAGCCATTTGAGTTGTCTGTCACTTCATTTTGAACTGTTGGAACTAGGTTTGTAGTTGTCTGTCATGTGAAATTAGTTGTCTGGCAAGCCTTTTGAGTTGTCTGTAGGGTATTCAATTCAACCTTTATTACAATACATAAATTGTCTGTATAAGTGTCGTAAATATCTGTATTGGTTATACTTGTCTGTCTACAGGTCCGAAGAATGTGGAGCAATGGTTGCATCCTTTGCAGAGCACCTGTTCATGGGAAAGCCCTTGGTTCCAAAGTGTGAATATGCAAACATGTGGAACAAGAGATGTCAATACGCTGTTCGTTTGTGGTGATTGAAGAGTGTGGAGGAAACAAAGGAATTCCTTTGAAATGTGGAACTTTATTATTTTGAACATTTATATTCATTTGGAATAACAGATGAAATGAAAGAAAACAGTTGTATTAAAGGTCCCAATGTTGGTATGAAGAAATCGATTTTTTGAAAAGTTAATTAATTTCTCGCACTAACGCAATGTTTGATAATAAGAGGTTGAATTGAAACATTAATTTGTTGTGAATTATCATTGTTAACATTAGGTATACACATACATGCATTAGTTTGTTGTCAATTACCATTTTTGGCATATGTTTCGTAAAAATGACAGACAATAGTCACAATACATATATCTAGACAGACAATAGAATAATCAGACAGACATTAGTTTTATATAGAGAGACAATAAGTTTACACATACAAACAATACGGTACCCAGACACACAAAAAATCAACACACATAACTGGATAATTATACATGTAATGTTTGCAAAAACTTACACATGTTCAAAAAACCAATCCAATTCTTCAACATTGTATAATATTTGACACATTTCCCCAACTGTAATATGTAATGTTTGTAAAAACAATACACATTAAAAATATCAGAAGTTCAAAATCGATACATTTCTCCCACACTCTATGCTTCAGCCTTCTTCAAGCGCCAAAATTCAATAGCAAATTCAAGTCTTTTGTTCGACATGTTGGTGTAGTCATAATCTGTAAGCATTAACTTCTCCAGATCTGCAGACAGACAAATAAAGTTTAGGCAGACATTTAGAACACTTAACACAGACAAGTAAATATAAATTACATACATCTATTTTTAAAATGACAGACAACTTCACTACTCTTACAGACTTATCACAACAACATGACAGACAAGTCATTACAGACAACTCAAACAAATACAGACAACTAACAAGAAAATGACAGACAATTCAATTAAATATCAATTACAGACGTCTATTTTGCAAGTGACAGACAACTCATCTAGTCTAAAAAACAAATACAGACAACTCAAATAACTAAATGTTTGGAATACTTACTATCTGAAAAATTCCTAATATGCACAATTTAAAGTTGAAACTTATACTAGTAAAACAAAAATCCAAAATCCTTAAAACATAAGAGGATTGTAACAAAAATCTAAAATCCTGTAGACAGACAAGTATAACCAAGACAGATATTTATGACACTTATACAGACAATTTATGTATTGTAATAAAGGTTGAATTGAATACCCTACAAACAACTCAAAAGGCTTGCCAGACAACTAATTTCACCTGACAGGCAACTACAAACCTAGTTCCAACAGTTTAAAATGAAGTGACAGACAACTCAAATGGCTTGCCAGACAACTAATTTCACATGACAGACAACTACAAACCAAGTTTCAATAGTACAAAATAAAGTGACAGACAACTCAAATGGCTTGCCAGAAAACTAATTTCACATGACAGACAACTACAAACCAAGTTTCAACAGTTCAAAATGAAGTGACAGACAACTCAAATGGATTGCCAGACAACTAATTTCACATGACAGACAACTACAAACCTAGTTGCAACAGTTCAAAATGAAGTAACAGACAACTCAAATGGCTTGCCAGACAACTAATTTCACATGACATACAACTACAAACAATTTTTAAAATACTAACCCATTACCAACTACTAAGAGAAGTCAACCATATATGCACTTCAAGTAATACACCAGACAACAATATGCACAATTTAAAGTTGAAACTTATACTAGTAAAACAAAAATCCAAAATCCTTATAACATAAGAGGACATAAACAAAAAATTCATTTAAGCATTTCAACAAACATGTTATGGGCATATTAATGACCTAGAATAGTTGGACTAAAATTGTAAGAATAAACATCACAAATTCATCACAATAACACAAGATATTCAACCATTAACATTACAAGATATATAGAGTATTACATATTAATTAAAAAAATAAATAATAAAAAATGAAGAAAGATGAAAAAGGGAGAAAGAGGCATACTAAGGGGAATCTGTGGACAATCTGTAGCTCAACTCCATTGAAGAGGGTTGTAAATGGTGTCCATGGATGACCTCCTTTCACCCTAGCACTGTAGCTCTCCGTTAGAAACACAAAAAAAAAAAAAGAGGGGAGGGTGAGAAGGAAGGAGTGTTGGCCGGTGTTGTCGCGGAGGGTGTTGTTGCAGGGGAGTGTTGGCCGGTGTTGTCACAGTGAGAAAGAGGGGAGGGTGTTGTCGCAGGGGAGTGGAGAGAGTTGGTAGAGGGCTGGTGTGGAGTTTTGGAAGGAAGAAGAGAGTTGGGGGTACATTTTTTAAATGGAAAAGGGAGTGAGGTAAAAATGGGGAAGGGTTTTTATATGGGGTATGAATGAGGTACCATTTGAGGTACCCATAGCAATTTTGTTTATACAAATAGAATTTTTGTACGGAGTATAGTTTATGCATAAGTAGTAGGTACCGTACGTTTGATTAGATGGACGCTATCTAATTTTATTCCACCATATGTTTCATTGTTTTGTAGGGTACTAGGGTGTATTTGTTTCTTTTAAAAAATAGTCCGTATTTCAATTTCTCCGTATTAATTTCGACGATCCACCAAATTCAACACTTTTTGATTAGTGATTTCCGCCAAATATACACTTTTCTGAATTGCAATCATAAAGTCAGTTCTACCTGTGCAAGAAACCCGCGTTCTGCTTCGAATATGTGTCTTTTCCCGTTCTGCTTTACTCTGTTTCCATTCTCTCTCTATCTCTATATCTCTGTATATATATATGCACCAAATCTATACATACAGACGGCAGCCGCAAATCACATCATCAATCTCTCCGACCAGACATCGCCCAACGTTCCGTTCTGGGCATTTCTCCATGTTTCTCAAAATATAATTAGTACTAATAAATCTCCCATAGATCCGTTAAAAATGGCTTCTTTCACGCCTCTCTGGCTCCTGCCTCTGATCTTCCTTTCCATATTTGGAGCCGCAGCCGGCGACGGCGAGCCTTTGCCAGCTGCTTTTACCCTCTCTTCGGTTCGTCTGAAGTCGCGTGTCAAGACGGCGCCGTTCCAGTCGTCTCTGTCACAATCGGAGGCTGATCTTCGCAGTGGGAAAGGGCCGCCGCCGCCGCACAAGAAACTGAGGACACCACCGCCGCCGCACAAGAAGCTGAGGCCACCGCCGCCGCACAACTACTCGGTTAAGTATACGATGGCTCTGGCCATTACCCTTCGCATAGGGACGCCCCCACAGATTCAGCGCATGGTGTTAGACACCGGCAGCCAGCTAATGTGGATGCCGTGCCTCAATGACACCACCAAGGCGCCGCCGTCTCCGCCGTCGCCGATGGTTCGTACTCATACGGCGCCGTATAGCATTTCCAGGTCAAAGAGCCTGTCTTTCTTTCCTTGCAAGAGCTGCAAACCCAACATTTTCCGTCAGGGCGTTGACGACTATTGTAATGACGACAAAACCAAGTGCCAATGCTCGTCTTCCTACGCCGACAGAACCGTAGCAGAGGGCACTTTGGTCAAGGAGAAAATTTCTCTCGCCAATTCATCTTCCCCGTTTGATTCGCCGGCGTTCTTGATGGGTTGCGCGTTCGGCGCGACCATGCCAGAGGGCATTTTGGGGATGAACTCAGGGCCCTTCTCTTTCATCTCCCAATCCAAGTACCAGACCTTCTCCTACTGCGTGCCGGTCCGGCGGCAGAGGGTCAACGCCAGCCGGAGAAATCCCGACGGAGCTTTCTACTTAGGCGCGAATCCCAATTCCGGCACGTTCAATTACGCGAAACTATTGAGTTTCGCTGATGCCACTATCCGCCCGCCCGCCCTCGACTTTCTCAACTACGTCGTCAATATGACCGGAGTTAGAATCGGCGGGGTAAAGTTGGACATTCCGGCAGCCTATTTTCGCCACAACGAAAGATATGAAGGTCTGACGATTATCGATTCCGGGACTGAGTACACGTTTATGGCGACCAACCTGACCAAGATTATTAAGAAAGAAGTCGCCCGTCGCACAGGTGAAAAATTTAAGAATGGTCACGTGTTCCGGGGGGTCATGGAAATGTGCTTCGACGGGAGCGCCGCGGAGATCGGAAAGATGATCGGCAACATGACTTTGGAATTCGACGACGGCGTTGATATTGATATCCCCGCCGATCGGGTAGCATATGATGTCACCGGAAATATGAGCTGCTTGGGCATCGGGAACTCGGATCTGTTGCCGGATGCGAGAAATATCATCGGAAACTTCCATACGCAAAATCTTTGGGTGGAGTTTGACTTGAACCGGCGCAGAGTGGGTTTCGGTAAAGCCGATTGTAGCCGCGCTTTGGTTTGACCTACGCAAATCCGCAATTTCATGTTATTTTATTTTTTATTGTTTTGTTGACAACATATTTGTACTCAATTCGTGTTTGTACAAAGATATAGTGCCCATTGTTTGTCCATCTATAATTCTATACAATTCTATTATACTTCGCGCCCAAGGATTATGAGAGTTTTTTTTCGAATTAATGTTAATTAAATAATTATTTACGAAAATAATGCTGGAAAAAAACTTATTACCGATATACTGCTGGGCCTTAACCACGGTCAGGGGTAAGTCGCCCAACGGTTGGGCGACTTACCCCTGAAATATGGTTGAAGGCGAGCAGCTACTGCCAGCCACGCACGATCGTGCGTACGCTGGGACGCACGATCGTGCCTAGGTCCGAAAACAGCATTTCAACAGTTTTTTCGCTCCAGTTCAACCCGGACTCATCTGTTTGGTATAAATAAGGTCTCTCTTCTCCTGTTTAAGTGTTGCGAGCCAGATACAACACATTATAAAACATACAACACACGTCTTTACAATCACATACATAACACCTACTCTCATCAACATAAAAAACACCTTGAAAATACCCTTTACAAATCAAATACAAAAACTTGCATTCATAACTGGTATAACACAGTACAATCATCCAAGATTCATAACAAGTAATCAGCTAATATTCATACTCGAACACATCAAGACAACATACAAGACTTTACAAGAGAAAATACGTCAAATGTTGTAAATTGTTCCTACAACATCTACTGCATAATAAAAACTACAATAGTATAGACAAACTACAAGTTCCCATCGTCAGCTTCGTCATGGAGATGTTGCTGCTCATGTCTACGCCTACGCCGTTGTCGTGGTTGAAGAACCACTCTCTCATGTTGCGTTTGGGATGATGAAGCCGCCGCTGCACTAGACGTGGATGGCATCTCCTGAGATGAGGGCATGTGTATAAGATGGCCGTAGTCGACTCGTCCCAACACATCTGAACACAAGGAGGCAATGCCTGTCAGAGCCTGTCCATACATGTCGACATCATGACTATCAGTCACTGTGGTTGTAGCCCGCTGATGTATGCGCTGCAAAGCTCGTGTCTGAAATATGAAACACAATTACAGTTACATAGAAATACATACAAATATTAAATAAATAAAATGGTTTACTTTACTAATTACTAATTTACTCACCGTAAGATGCAAAGCCAAGGAGCTAGGCTGATAATGATGAGTAGGGAGTCTGAACGAAGGAGACACAAACAAACGAGTGATGCTGTAATACCATCCCATATAGTCTCCTGAAACAGATGGGACAAATGTCGGTGTCCCAGCCACAACTAGCTCAGCTCGCCTCTCCCACATAGTGACGTATCTGACATGTCTGAGTGCCCAATCCTCTGTATGCTTCCCACGCCTATCCAGTCTATGCAGCTCAACGTAAGTGTCGATAGGCTGTGGAATGACCTGCTCAAACCCAAACTGTCGCAACACTCTATCAGGCAAATGAAGCTCAACAATGTCAAAACATATCAACGGCACACGTGCTCGCCATATGTGAGTATGCTCTCGTCCAGCTGGGGGCAACTCTGCCAACATGTCAGGTGTAAACGGCATCCATGTGATCTGTTTCATAAAGATACAAAAGTTAGTATTTATTCTATACATATTATAGTTAATGTTATATAACCCACACCTTACCTGATCCTCAGACATCCGATCAAATGCATCCCTGTACACACCGAGCCCAGTAGCGGATGACATGCGAGATAGACCAGCATATAACCATCTAAGCATTCATGTAACAGTATCATTAACATGGATGTTATTAATATATTTGCATTCAACCTACAATCACATAAATACCAACAATTGAAAACATACCGACGGCCTAGAGGGTCCTCGCCACACACATGATGTGGTCCTAGAAGACGTGGAGGCTCATCAGGCAGTGGGTGTCCATCAATACCATGATACGCGACTAAAATGGGACGCCCAATGTGGATATACTCCCACGACCAAATCTGGAGGAGTAACAAAAATCCCCCAAGCTCTGTGCTCCCTCTCTGGCAGCCGCGGCACAGCTGTCTGTACAGATAAGCGAGTGTGGCACTACCCCAGCTGTACTGTGCCGCTACATCAAACCTCTCAAGCATAGGCAAGTGCAGCACCTGAATCTCATTTCCGCTCTTATCAGCGAAAATGGAGGCTCCCATCAACATCAAGATATATGCCCGGGCATGCTGCTGGATCATCACCTCATCAGCGTCCGGAGGAAGCACCTGGAAGTGCTCCCTCAACCATGGCATCCTCAGAGATGACCCCTGAAGGTCAGTCCTCAGAACGGGGCGGATACCTAACAACCGCTCACACTCATCAACCCACTGTCGACAAGCAGTGCCTGTAACAGCTCTCCCATCTACCTCTAACCCCGTAAGTACAACAACATCTCCTAATGTCACTGTCACCTCACCAACAGGTAGGTGAAATGAGTGTGTCTCCTGCCTCCAACGCTCAAGTAGAGCAGTGAGAAGCGCTCTATCTAGAGGCACAGTAGCTACTAATCTATGGAGAGTATAAAAACCCACTTGTGTCACCCAGGATAACGCACAATTGTGAAGGTGTCAAGGCTGCCTTTGTTCTTTGTGGCGCGTATTCTCCAGGGGCAATCACATTCTTTCTTCCTTTTGCATTGTGCCACCCACTTGTGTTTATCGGACTCTATTACCCGATAAAATTGGTCCCGTTTGATAGAATACAAGCTCACCATATTGATGACTTGTTCTTTGTTGTCAAACTGTTGACCGACCTCAAACTCACCATCGGGGGTAAACCTTTTCTCACCTGATCCACTCATCCACGCATCAGTAAAGCCTTCAGGGAGATCATACATTCTAGTAAAGTGGCTAGACGGGGCAGTTTTCGTGACAGTATCACCATCATCTTCATCAGATTCTGTCATGTCATCACCATTGATGTTCTCGTCAGCATCATCATCACTTCCCTGACCATCCACAAATGATGCACCGTTGTGCACATACCTACCATCTTCCTGTATAACCATGTCCAGTACAGGAGCCTTTGAGTAGTCCCCTGCATTCACCCCTGCATTGACATCATGCGTAGATACGACAACATTTGATGTTGATTGAGTACCATAAGCGTCACAGGATTCGTCAATGTATATCTCAAGCGTCGACATATCCTCCATCTGAGTTATGCCCCACATATTTGTTATAGCTAGCTCATCAATGAGGGGCATAAGCATGTACTTTCCCCCGTTCATGGGAAATTTCATTTTCAACCGCAAAGAACGGCTAGGATGAATCATTGTGGCTGCATGTATTTTTTGAAGAATCTCCAGCATGCATGCGCCACGAGAAACCATGACAAAGCTGGTTCTACCACCTTCAATGCATATTTGCCCAGCATCCTCATAATAGTTCCCTCCCCAATGACATATGATTGGGAAACTAGAGAAATCCATATTCTAATAAAAAATACATGTCCAATTTTCATGAGTACACATTAATATACACACTTTACACACATTCAAATTTTAAATAGAAAACACTACCTACATTGTAATATACCCAAATGACAAAATTCACAATCAATTCACATTGCAATATCAAAATACCCAAATGTTGATATCTACATTGAACTCTACATTTCAATACCCAAATTTAGCAACATTCAAATCTACCCAAATCTCAAAACACACAATTAAATTTACAAACAATTTCATATCAAAATTCAACATATCTTACAAATTCACATTACACAACAAATCAATTCACAAATGAATTCCTAATTTACAAAATCGAATTTTCAATATTCAAAACCCTAACATGAAAAATGAGATAAATTGGAGAGATTTACTTACCTAGAATGTTGAAGAAGATGGAGATGAAAGATTATTGGCAAGATGGAGAAGACCTCGCCGTCACCGGAGCACGAGATTCGCCGGAGATGGAGCTGCACCCGTCGTCTTCCTCGCCTGCGTTCAGTTCGCCAGAGGATGCCTTTGGATTTCTTCTGCGTTCTGTTCTGTGGCGTGGCCTTACCCGATAATTTTACTTAAGGGTAAGTCGCCAAACCGTTTGGCGACTTATAAGTCGCCCAACCGTTGGGCGACTTATAAGTCACCAAACGGTTTGGCGACTTACCCCGACCATGGTTAATCGGGCAGTAGGTTGGTAAATAGTTTTAACCCAACCCTATTTTCGTAATTAATTAATTAATTAATTAACATTAATACGGAAAAAAACTCGGATTATGAAAAAGCACTTATGACACCAATTTGTTAGGATGTTTTCTTTTGGAATGTTTTCAGTCACAGATCAGTCCAGACTAGATCAGATCAGACCAGACTAGATTTTCGTAGTTATAAAATACACAGAAACCAGACATTTACCAGACCAGATCAGACCAACAAATTTCAGTACAAAAGAAAACATCTTTAGACATGCATAGGCGTGCATTCGACCCGACGGTCCAACTCTACCCGAAACCGGGCACATTAAGGTGTGAGAATGGGGGCATATAGGTATATTTATTGAAAAAACTTTCTAAAAAGGGAAAGAGAGACATATATTGGAGAACATCTTAAATTGGAAAGAGGGACATGTATTAAAGGAGGCACTATTAAAAATGTGTATTTTGTTGCCTTAAAACAAAAAGACAGTGTAGCTGGAATAATAGATTCAATGCAATAACCTAACAGGAGTCTGCTTCCCAGACCTGCTTTGTCAGTTCACTACATTAATAGACTTACAGAGTTACAACCATAACCAAATAAGATACGTAGTATTCAGTTATGATCTGCAAAAACATTATCTAACAAAAGCATCTCTCAAAAAAAAAAAATTCAAAGTCATGATATGAGGACTTTCATCCCTAGACATTTTTTTGCTTGAGTATGTTACAGGTTGGAATTGATCAAAACTATGCTCTAAATATTTTACATTGACTCATAAGTATAAAATTGAGTATCACAAAGCTTTTAAGTTTATCTGGTAAAGTTTATATAGCAATAGTAGCTGTAACCTATTAGGTTTGAAAAAAAAGTTAAAAAAACACTAAAAAAGTATGGTTAAAAAAGTATGATGGTTAATTTACCTTTTAAAATGAAATCCGATAAAATGAAGGTTTAGATTTACGTAGACAATGTAAGTATCACAAAGAAGCTAATTCCACATTCATTCTAAAACATTA